TTCATTTATGGTTTTTTCTGAGTTATGGTGATAGTAAACTACAACAGTAAACTGTCTTTAAATGATCTTCTTTAGTAGTGAAAGCTGATTAAAAATGAGCTGCACTGACATATGTTACAAATAAGACCATGTTATTTGTCTCTGGTGAGTGTCAAGTCTAATATCATTCAAAAAAAGGTTTCAGCTGTGATTTGTAGTTTTGTTACCCAAAAGTCTAGGGAACAGTCTTTCTTAATGTCAGTTATGACTGCAATNGAGACTGATGTTTTGACTTGTTGAGTCCAGAATACAAGTCTGGATTTAAAAGTGATTTCAGTAAAATTCCTATTTATTCACTTCATTAAAGAAGCCGAGACAGTATTTAGCCTAGAGCCTACAGCATACTTAATACAGCCCTTCCAGTAGTAAAGCATGCTGTCTCACTTCACATGGAAAAGTCCCCAGACTGTGAAGATGTTCCTCTCTTCATTTCCATCCTCTAATAGAGCCATGTCTGCCTAAGAGCCAAGGTCTATCTTATCTAGGTATGTTTCACAGGGCTGCAGAATGTTGTATCTGCCAGCAGCAGTAATGTTTGGGTGGAACACCTAAATGTCTTGTGTTGGGCTTCATTTGGGGTACATACATAGGTGTAATTAATAAGCTCCAAAGTCTGCATCTTGCAAGATATGAAATACCACTAACACCATTAGCTCCATTACCACTAATGGATTTGCTAGCCATTTTGTACTACCCTAAAGCTGGTAGCATTTGCTATCAGCAGCTGCAGGATTCATAAAGACCTGGAAAAGATAGCAGCAGTTCTGCTCAGGTACAAAACCTCTGTAAATTAATTTGAAGTTACCAAGGAACCATGTAATAGAAACTAAAGGTTCCTTTGATGAAAGAGTCCAGATGGACAACATTGCAAAAATTAGATGAATACTTAAGAACTGTTACCATTATGTTAGTTATTAGAAAAATAAATCCTTTCCCCTCCAATAAAAATCTAAAATTACCTCATTATTATCTATCAACAAATGAAGAGGTTCTCATGAGACTCAAAGGCAAAAGACCTTTCAGCTTTTATATGCCCAAAGCAATTTCTTGCAGGTAAATCAGGTGGAAGAACAACATTATAAGATGAACAATGATGTATCTTTTCTATGTGGTAAAGGTGCTTCAGCTTCTGTCACAGCATTTGTAGTTTCCAGAAAGTTTTTGGCAAAAATCCCTTATGAGAGGCTCTTAGGGAAATGAAATTGTCTACTCATACTTAATGTTCAGAAACAAGTGGTGGCATGCAGTCACCCACCACAACACAGAGAGGTTGCTGTTCTCACAGGGCATCTGGGCTGTGACCTGACAAAGAGTGATAGGGACCAATAGGGAGTCTGCAAACAAAAGATTCGATTTGTAAAATCATGATGAACTGAGCTCACTCAAGATGGTCCACTCAGTACAGGTGATTAGAGTTCAGGAGCCTATGCTGTACTGCTAACTGATTTTCATTTGAGCATGGAGCTGAAATCATAGAGTAGCTGATGTTGAAAGGCACCTCTGGAGACCATGTAGTCCAACTCTCCTCATGCAGGGCCAGCTACAGCAGTTGCCCTGGCCTGTATTCAGCTGGGGTTTTAGTATCTCTAAGGAGATCTCCACAGTCTCTGTCGGCCTGTTTTTACCTTCCTCACAGATAAAAAACTTCTTTAGATTTTGAAGTGGAATCTCCTGTGTTCAAGGTGGTATCCATTGCCTCTTGTCCTGTCACTGGGCACCACTGAGAAGAGTCTGGCTCCATCTTCTTTACTCAACCCCCACTAGGTATTTTTAGATAGATAAATACAAGATCTTCCCTTGGCTTCCCTACTCCAGGCTGAAGAGTTCCAGCTCTCCCAGACTCTTCATAAAAGAGATGCTCCAGTCTCTTAATTGCCTTCATGGTCCTTCTTTGGACCCACTCTAACAGACCTTAGAATAGTTTCCAGGAGGATTTGGGTCTTAATCACCTTTGTGGCCCTTCACTGGTTTCACTCCAGTTGTTCCACATCCCTTTCATACTAGGTCACCCAGATCTGGACCCAGCACTCCAGGTGTGTCTCACCAGTGAAGAGGGGAAGGATCACCTACCCCTCCTCATGCAGGCCAGGATACTGTTGGCCTTTTCTTCTGCAAGGGTCCGTTGCCAGCTCATCCAACTTGGTGCCATCCAGGACGCTTGGGTCCTACTCTCCAAAGCTGCATTCCAACCAGTCGGTCCCCAGCCTACTGTAATGCATGGGGTCACTCTTCCCCATGTACAGGACTTTGCCTTTGCTTTTGTTGAACATCTTGGTGTTCCTGACAGTCTGTTTCTCCAGGCCCTTCAAGTGGCAGCCTAACCATTAAATGCATGGTCTCTCTCTGCTCCTGATTCTTTTGCAAGCTTCTTGAGATTGCCACCACTTCCTCATTCGGTTGTGGGCTGCCATCTTCCTCCCCTGTTATTCCTTTTTAAAGGTCTCCTCCTTAGGTTGGTCAACCTGTTGGCAAAGATGTTTTTGCCTCATGCAGTCACACTTGATACCTTTCAGGTCTCTGCTGGCTGTACTGCGGGTGCTCACATGGATGGGCAGCAGGAGTGAAATTCTGAAGGCTGGATAAGACTTTACAGTTTCACTGCAGGGCTCCATAGCTGAGGGTCCAGCAAGCAGCCTTGTGTGGAGTCACAGCTACCCTGGGATAGGCAAAAGGCAGTGCTGTGGTCGAGGACTTCAAAAGTCAGTGCAGTAGCCATAATGGTTTCGGTGGTGGTGATCAAGGAAAACTAAGTTAAACCTTATAATTAATTTTAAAGTTTTTGGTTTTATTTTCATTTTTGTTTTCTTTAATTGCAGAGAAACTAGTACAGGTGATAGAAGCAAAGGTATCTCTTGGTTTTCTATCAGACTCCTGGCACCAACCAATTTCAGCAGCTGCAGAATGCTCCATATCCTCAAGGCCAGATGCCTTTAAGTATCAATAGCTAATTCCTAGCAAAACAGTAGAAAACCAGACCCAAACAAAACCCAGTAACATCCTGAATCAAAGAATCAGAACAGGCTTGGATTTCTAAGGATCAGATAAGTAATACCTTTGATGGCTGCAAACATTTTCTCAATTTAGAATATTTTTTCCATAATACATTCAGACTCATTTGCCAGCTTAAGACATCAAACTTTATACATACACACTTAGAACATCGACTCATTTGGCCTGTTTGGAACTGATAGTTCATTACATCAGCAGGTTCTGAATATACTGCATCTTCTCTGCCTTCATAGAAAAAAACAGCAACAGCCTGAGCATGCCAACAGACCATTGATCTGAGGAAATACACTAAAAGATGCCTTTGATTAGCCTAGTACTTTGGGATGCGTATTTTAACCAAGCACAGATTGCAGCCTGCAGAAGAAGTTTTGAAAATTGACAGTAAAACCAGGAGGCTGAAAATTAGAGGAAACAGATAGGCTCTGGGACTCCACAGAGAACAGTCACTGGAAATAAAGCAACGCCCAACAATAAAGGCAAGAAACAGAAGAAATGCTGGATAAACAAGAACTACTGTACAGAGCAAACAACAGTGTTCTAGAAAACTGAGATTAATGCCCCAGGCTAATGCAAGTACAAGGTATAAAGCAAGTTATCAGATGGAAAAATTGCAAAGGCAATTGTACAGTATTTAACAGCACAGATATTTTCTAAAAAAAAAAAAAATAATCATCAAGCAGCCAAAGGACACAAAATTAAAATTACACAAAGTATAAAAAACTGTTTTAAAATACTTTTTTCTGACTGACATAAATTTTGAGTGATGGAAAACATTACAAGAGGGGTATAACATAGGATATATTTGTTTTACACATGTATATTTGCAAAACAAACACATGAGATTTTTATTTTTGCTTAAATATCCATTGTGCTGATGATTGAGTCCAAGGCACCTACTCCCGTGACCCTGTAACAAATGATGACAGCAGTTAATATCTTAGCTGCGCTGATGGTGTCATTACTACTGGCGTGAAGTCTCCAAGGTCTTTATGCATCCCTACAATACTTACATTCCTTTATAATCTTCAAGTACAGGTTTTAGACTGCATCATCTGCCAAAATCAGGCTCCTTATAGATCTCCTCATATACACTCTACATGTTAATGAGCCATCTGACTCGAAGGTAAAGTGGTATCTTTTAAGAAGATTTAATGTGAGTGGAGATGCATCAGTATTTCTCACTATCAGTCTGCAAAGAACTGAGTGTTGATATCCAGGACACAAACAAGATGCAAACTGCTTTTTGCTTACAGCAAAAAGCTAAACCTGTGTGGCTCATATTAAGAATGCAAAGCACATTTAGAGTGCACAGAGTACTTTAAAAAAAAGATGAAAGAGATCATTTTCTAAGGGTATGTTACACAAATTTAGTCTCGAGTAATGCTGTATGTCAGAGACAGCCATGCTTTTGCAGCTGAATTTCAATGCTGCCTTTTCTTTCTTCTGTCTCACCCTACCAGGGGCCATTCTCCTTTGAAAACTACTTTTCTCCTATGGATTGCTGCTGCTACCTTGTCACACCCCCTCCTGCCTCCATCTGCCACTGCCTCCTCATGGGCCATCACTTCTTGCTGGCTCCAGCCTGGGGAAGGAAAAAAAAAAAAAAAGCCAAAGCAGCTCTACTTTGCATCTTACCTCTAATATTGCCATACCTCTTCAGACAGAAACAGGCATACGTGTACATCTAAAACAGTGCCTCTAAACAAAAGGAGTCAAACACACTTCAAGATTACTGTGTCGACACAGATGAAGGAAGGTGAAAAAGCAAGATTTCCTTACAGTTCTCCTGCAGCTCCCAGATGCCATGGTAGGGAAAAAAAGGCTTTGCAATTTTCAATAGCCCTCTGTCACAGCTGGCACCCTGCCAGCCTGTGCCAGACACTGCTGCTGAGCCCACTGGAGACACTGTGCTGGAGCAGAAAGGCAGAAGGAAACCAAAAATAAAGAAAAGGCTATCAGGGCTGGAGACAAGGAGGGAGATAGAGTCAATATAGAAAGAGATATCCACAGCAATGGGTCAGGGGCAAAGTGGAGAAAGGGGGAAGGAGGTAAGATCTGGAGCTACTGCTTTCTCCCACTGCAGGCTCCTCCATCTTACAGTGCATTTCCTATAAACTCCCTCACTTTTAACACCCCAAAGAGTTAGCTGTTCCTACAGCAGCCTTCTTCTACCTCCTCTTGAGTTGTATTTCCCTGATGAAATTCCCCACAACTTTTGCTTCCTCCCAGTCCCAGTTTGCTTCTCAGTCTCTACACTGAAGCAGCATTACAAGGGAGAAAATTTCCTCTTGTTCCTCAAAGCTTTCAGTGACTGAAAACATCATCATGGAAATACGGAGGGAGCAGAAAAAACAAATCACCAGCAAAACACCAACTTTGTTAGAACTGTCTTTTCTCAAAATGCAGCAGGACGTTTCCTGAAGAAAACTATGCCTCACACACTTCACTTCATATACAAAACTATCAGTTCACTGGACTGCTGTCCAAACAGGGCTCTCAAAATGTGTTCTGGAAACACAGATACTCCTGGAAAACACAAGAGAAGTTAAATAGACAGCAAGGGGATAATCCTAATGCACTTTTATTACACCTTCTGATAAAAACTTCATTAACACCAAAGTTTATTTGCAATTAACTAAAAAGGCATTCAACAGAGCATCAGCACAATATGTTCTCATTCCCTCCTTCCAAGTTTTATCCCTGCTTACATACAGAAAGTCCCCTGTACATCTATACCAGGCTCACAGCCTCCTCCCACAGCAGAATGCTGCCCTGGAACACTGTGTACTCCCAGAGGCATTACAATAATCTCATTTAAGGCATGGCCCGCCATGGTCAGGCTCTGCACCAGAGAATTTATGTAGAAAAGCAGAGGCAGCACCAGGCATTTTGTCACCCTGAAAAGGCAAGGCTGTCCTGTTCTGACAGCTGCTGCCTGCAGCTATCTCTTCCCTCTCTTCTTAAGTTGCTATGTCTGTAACAGCAGTGGCAAAAAATGTCCTTCCTTATGTTTCTAACCTGAATTAGAGGCAGAGGTACAACCATGCATCCTGCTTGTTGCCCTCCAAGTTGCCCATCTCCAGCAGAGAGGGGGAACACCCAGTTGGATGGGACCACCTTGAGGAGGTAGGTTCAGTCTCAAAAGGTTTGCTTCTAAACATCTGTGCCATTTGCCTCCCCTCTTTGCTCAGGCAGCAGAAGATGAATATGCAGTTCTTACAGAGGCCCTAGCTCACTTCTGGCATACAGTAAATCAAATTGAACAAGCAGCAAGACATCCAACTGTAAACTGAGCCAGCTGAGCAGAGGCACTTCTCACAAAAAAGGAGGTAGAGATACTCCTGACAAACCCCTGTACTGGAAGCAGCCCAACAGATAGAGAAAACCAAACTCTTACAACACAATATCAGAATTAAAATAATGTAGACAAGAAAATGTAAGAATTACAGCTCAACAATCATCCTTCTCTATTCCCATCACAAAATAGATCCAGGATGGCTATAACAGAATGAGGGTCAAATTACAACAGAAATATGAGGACGCGTGCTTCACCCTTGAGACTATTTTCTCATTAATACATAATACTTCAACTCCATTTAAGAACCTCGTTATGTGTTTTTATGGTATCAGATCATTTGATTAGTTGTATTAGTCTAAAATAACTTCCTCTGAAATACTGTTCAATGTAACACTTTACCTCTTGATTAAACACTTGTTCAGTAAAGAACTGAACTCATGGCATCACTGAGTATGCTTTACTAGAAGTCAGGTTAAAATAATGAAAGGATTTTTTTTTATTATGTCAGTTTCGGAAAATTGAAAGGATCCTAAAGTCAAGAATTAAAGCTTTGCAGGAGATTGTTGGGTAGGTCTGCTCTTCTCCACCAAATGCAAAATAAGGCATCTGTCTAGAAACCACATTCTTCTGGCTGTGCAACCCCAGAAGTCTGCTCCCTCCTGCTCCCTCCAGCCTGCTCACACTCGACAAACAAGACACAGTTATTCCACAGGATATTTCCTCTTCTGTCATTCTCAATGTTATGCTTTGCTCTGTGAGGAGACACCTTCGCATCAGATTCTGGATGAACTAATTGTTTCCTGCTAGAAGGAACACGTTCATTTTTTGCCCCTAGACAAGGCTGGCAGTGACTGCAAAAGGTGGCTCTTTGAAGCCCATCCTCTGACCCCTTGCTGGAGCTTCCTCTGACCCCTTGCTGAAGAACAGCTCGTCAGTCACAGGCAGAAGTCAGGACAAACAAAGGGCTGTTTGTACAGCATCTCCCATCAGCCCTCCCTCTCTCTTCTCATCCCCGCTAGCTCTAACTCTCTCTGGGTCCATCTAAAAAGATACGGCTGCCAAGAAAGTGAAAGGGAGTGAAGCAGAAGAAAAAGGTACGTTTTGCTCCTGAAATTATCCTTGTGTACTTGTTCTGCTGCTGCTAGTTACAGAGCACAGAATTAGAAATATATATGGAAACATGCAGAAGATGATTTGGGAGAAGCTGCTATATCATAGGCAAGAGGTGCAATTTAAGACAGATACATGGCTATGATCCAGCTCAAAATAATTCTTTTACTATCTTGCTTTTTTTCAAAGTTGGATGCTACATATTAACATCTGAGGTCATTAAACATACTATATTGCCTTCCAGTGCTCAATGTTGCAAAATTGGTGAATATGGAGAGGGGTGTGTTTACAATGAATTGCTGTCTTAAAGAAAAATAAATGGGGTTTAATGATAACACAGTTTCTGGAAAGAATCATGGTATTGATGATAATTACAAAGAAGTAATTCACGGAATTCAACCTCAGTGGAATAGATACTGTCCTTACAGTGCACCAACAGTTCAAACAAAATAGATTTGAAGGATTTTTTTTTAATGGAAAAGATTCTTCACAGTATTATCAGTTATGCAGCTCTTGTGTAATGATTTCTTAGGAATGCACTAATAAACCTAACTATCATACACTGACACACCTAAATATGAAATACTTAGCATTTTATAGGTGTTTCTGAAAGGGAAACTTGACAAAACAATAAGATACATTTTATTATCAATATATGTTTTTAGCTCTTGAACTCAAAACATTAAAAGGAAAAAAATTTAATATATACTTGCTTCTTAAGTGCAACTTGTTAACCTGGCACATGCCACTGGACAGAATGGAAAAGATCATACCCCAAAAGTGTAGCAATTACTGTATTTCTTGTTTTCAACATTAAGCAACTAGAGACACAGCCTGCTTAAGGATATAAGAAGGGTATATTTAATGAAGGGTATATTTAATGGTTGATAGACCAACTTGTAAATATTTGTATTTTTCCAAACATGGAGGATGTCTAGAGGTGCCAAAATACACATTTTGTGCCACTTCTCTTTTCCCTATTTCTAACACCTGAGCTCCTACTGAACTATTACCCTGTTGTTCTTGGACATGCAGGTTGAAACTTGGGGTTTTCTCTTTGGTCTCTTCTGACTATCTCTGCATCTAGCAGATCCAAAGATTAGATGACGCCAAATTGCCTGGCAGGATAATTCAAACGCTCTCAGCTGAACAAGTAGGGACAGCACTGATTCCCAACTCACCATGCATATTCCCAAACTAACCCTTTTCCTTTACAAAAAGTTCCAAAGTATTTCAGAGTACTTGTACTCCCAGCTGCATTTAGTCTCAAATTTTACTTACCTGATGTCAAAATAACCAAAATAATTAACTGAAAAGAACTTACGCAAATGCAAGTTCATTTTCAGTATTTTCAGATGGTTTACTCCTGCTAGAATTTGAAATTATACAATCTTGATAGAGCAACCTGGTCAGGCTTCGCATGAATGGCATTGCTGTCTTGACAGAAAGTTTTATAAAATAAAGAAATATAAGAGAATGCTTGCTAACAATGAGTCTTTTGGTCACCTTAGTGATTGGTTTTGTTCACATTTTCCTGACTTGTTTTATGAGAAAAGACTGTCTTCTGTGGTATGAAAAAAGCAGATAAGGTCTTGGACACCCATTTTGAAATAAATACACACATACTAGCTCTGTTCTTTACCTAGGCAATCAGTGACACTCCAACATCTGCACAACCATATTCAGAAAGAGAAGTTGCAGCAGTTTGTCAGACAGAGATGCTGCATCTGAAAGGTCTGCTGAGTTTACCAGCATTGATCCTGTGCAGGGAGCAGATGAAACACTTCAGGTCCTTGGCAATCTTTCATCTGCAAATAGGGACCGTTCTCAGGAAAGAAACAGACTTTTGAGGATAGGTCTTTCGACTAAAAATTTCCATGTGGTTATGTGATCTGCAAAAAACCCCAGAGGAAATATTTAAGCAGAAACAAAATTATAATAAATATTTTTTTCTGAATAGTAACAGTGCTGAACACTGGTAAGGTGCATAGGTAACCTGTCAGAAAAGCTGTTCTATCCATTGCTCTCCTGCATGTTGACTTTGCTAATACTGATTTTGACACCCACTCTTGATGATGCACTACAGCAATATTTTCTTATATTTCAAGGCAAATACTGAGTTACAGAATCACCGTAAACTGTAGGTCATGATTTTTGAATCCAGCAATTTGACAGTAAAGAATCTGCCCATTCTCAGGACAGAGTGAATTCCTCCAAATTTTGAGGAGATAGGCAGCTGGCAACAGATTCAAATGAGCATTCCAGCAGAACTCCAGGTAGGGAAAGATCACCTGAATTATTAGAAATAATAATAATAAAAAAAAAAGTACACAGGAGCAAGATACCATGATCCCCAAGGCTCCACTACTGATCGTTTATAGGAGTATTCTAGTCAAGAGTTCCCATACAAGTTGGAAACTAAAAGGAATTATTCCATGAATTTTGCTTCTACAACAGAAGTTAAAAAAATACACAAGAGCTTATTTTAACTTCAGCCATGTTCTTTAGTATATAGGCCACTTTTTAATATTTTATTTGGCTACTGGTGCTCAAAAAAACCAAGTCTAAATATAAATACCAATGTTTATAAAACCCCCAAATTTAAATATTAAAACAAAACCAGAGAGCATTGAGGTGTCATCCCTAATATGAATCTAAATTCCCAGATTTTCTAATAGTCCCTGGCATGTTATTCATTAGCTGAAGAAATGGAAGAAAAGCAAGACAACTATGGTGCCAAGATAACTATCCAAGAAAAGTTACTATAAAATACTGTAAATTATAGATTTAAAAGTTTATTGTTTGTTTTTCAAGGGTGATCTCAAGATTTTCACAGAATAACTCATATAGGACTCTATTAATTGACTTCTATAGCTGGCATACCTCATTTTTTAACTTAACCAGATAATAGCTCTGCCATCTTAACATGGCCTTTGATAGTCCTTGATCAGACATTGCCTTACGCCTTGTTATTTTTGGCTTAGCCTACAGCATTCTAATCTGCAGCCCCACAAGAAAGACTAGGGCTGGCCCATAATGCCAGCATGTCAGGGGATCAACTCTGAAGTGCCAACAGGATGAAGGATGGCAAAGGCTTCCTTGAGGCCAACACAAGTACAGTAACAAGCACACAGGGAGTGCTCAGCAGAGCTGGTCATTGCTTTAAATTAGTTTTAAGAGCAGAATTCCCATTTAAATTCAGTAAGATATCAGATCCCTTTTGTTCAAGCATGAGGAAAGGTATAACACCCACTCTCTCTCCTAATACAATGAAGTCTAGGTTGAAACATGGTTCAAAATGTTAATTTAAAAGTGAATGCCAAGTTCAAGGATCTTATCCAAAGCTTTGTGGCATGGTCAAACTCTGTGCAAAGCAGCTAAGAACAGCAGAACTAGTGTTAAACAAGATGATGGAAATCCTAGTCACCAGCAGGAGAGTTTTGCAAGGGATAATTTATCCCATCTTTTAAAAAGCCAATTAAGCCATAATGGGCTGCAGTAGCAAGGCTCAACTAAGCAGTCTGCAATACTAAAAAAAAAAAACCAATTAAAAAAAAATTCTCTGTAATGCAGTATCATATCTGAATCTGCAGTCCAGGACAGTGGCACTTGGCACCACTGCAGAGAGCTTCAGCTTTCTCAGCTGTATAATGCTTCAGTTTTTCAAGCAGCCCATAACAGAGGATTCAATCAGCCAGCAGTTTTTCCACAACTTCGATGGGGAAGGATACTATTAATTTTATGTGAGTGACTCCTGTTTTGACAGGCAAAATGGCCAGGAAGGCAAGGACACACACCCAGACATTTTCCCCTGGTTTGGCAGCAATCAATAGAATCACTTACACCACTGAGAAAATGCAGCCAGCTCAAAGCAATTTTCTCAAGGTGAGAGGCCAAAGAAACAACAAAATTGCCAGCATCAGAAGCCTCAATTCCTGATGAAAGGATTTCCAAGGTTGTACAGAAAGTAATGAATATCAATTCTCCTGCAATATTATTTACCTCCTAGGAGAAAACACTCTCCAGAACTCATGCTCAATCTTCCAAAACGTCACAAGGAAAAAAAGAAAAAATTGTAAGTAAGGAAGCAAACTGAGAGAGGTCTGTTCAGCTGTAATACCTGTGTCACGTACCTCCTTTCTCTTTAGCACCCTGCTGTGGGAAGCTGCAAAAATGAAGATGTTCTCAGCCCTGCTTCTGCTGAGCACCCTCCTGGATACCCTCACGGTGCCTTCCCACCGCCCTTCTTGTTACAAGAGGGCCCTCAAAGACCACAACTGTCACAACATCCCCGAAGGCATGGAGAACCTTCGACAAATTGATGACACTCTGCAAGATCACTTTTGGGAAGGGAAGGGCTGTGAGGTGATCTGTTACTGCAACTTGAATGAATTGCTCTGCTGCCCAAAGTAAGACCATACTTATTTCATGTAAACTCATACAGTTTTTTTACAACTGCTCATTATATTTCCATCATTTTACAGTTTCCACAGGTGGAATAAGCTACCACTTTAAAGAAATTAATCACTTCAGATGGCTTGAAATTATATTAAGATACAGCCAATTATCTGATATGCTGTCAGTATCTCAGGTTTTGGTTTTCAGGGGCTCACATAGGACTTGCTTAGCATATTTTGTAAACCTTCCTGTCCTAGTATGGGGGAATTCAGCATTTAAATCACCCAGCTTTCAACTCCTGTTTGATCCAAACTAAGTACAACTACATGAAATCCTTATCCACAGCATTTTGCAATGAAGATGTTTTCAGACCACAATCAAAACTATTTGACTTCTGTTCCACGGAAAAGAACAGTATTGATATTCTAAGGTATATGTACATATGTCAGTTGAATAAATGATTCTGTAAAGATAGCTGTTAACAGCAGGAAATCAGATGGGGGGAACAGAGGTTCGCAAATACCTGTAAGGCAGGGAAAAGATTTAGCCCCAGAACATCTACATTTCCTTGGTTTTCTGGCACTGCTGACAAAGCTTAACAGTGACGTTCTCACTGAACATGGGCGTTTTGTTGTTGTTAAACAGAAAAAACATAACTGGCTTAAAAAAACCCACCACCAGCCCATACCTGTTTTAAGTAATAAAATGTATTAAGAGGTATTATTTCATTCAGCTTTTCAGCAACATCTTTTCTTCAGTATATCTGGATTAGAAATAACAACAGTTCAAAACTTATTAATACTTCAGGGACACTAAAATGTGATGGTATTATATAGGCAAGAAAAAACTATTTTTTATATTTGCTCCTCTTAACGCTCCCTAAAAATCCAATAATGGGTAAGTTTTCAACACTCTTGTAGGGGAGACAAGTTGAACCAAGTGCGAAAGACTTCTAAAGCTAAAAATCTCGCATTCAGACTGAGAGCAGGGTTTCAATAAGTTTTTCCATCTTTCACTTTCCCTAAAATCAGATATGGTGTCCTCACTGTGAAGCACACTGGGAGTTTTTAGCTTCAACCTCTGAGCTTTGAGCAGACTACAAAAATACCTAAAAAAGTATTCCTTCCACATCCTGAGCTACATAAGACCTTCTTTGCGTGTCTGTTCTAGGGACAAACTGCACTAAACCAGTATGCATGCACATGCCAAAGTCCTTTATTTTGATAATATAATCTATTTGGTAAGTTTATTTTCTCAAAGCTAAAATACCAGGGTGGAGTTCTGGCAATCTAGTCAGTCAGTGAAAGTTTTGTCACCACTTCTAAACCAGGTCAGCAGAGGTAGAAAGGCAGTATCTTCATTCAGATCTGCAGTTGCATTTGCATTGCTGGAAGGACATTCCCACACACATAGTAATCCCACACATACCCCAACATATACTAAAAAATATCCACAATGGGAAATGTATGTCATGTTAAAGCTCTGATAAACCAATGGGCTAATTATTTAAATATCTGATCATATCTTTCAGGGATATTTTCTTTGGACCAAAGATATCTTTTGTGATCCCCTGCAACAGTCAGTGATTCAAGTCTGCAGGTGAAGATAACAGACATCATTCTACAATTGTGTAATAATGCTTTCAAGAGCAAAAACAAAACCACCACAATCTAACCACAAAACGGTGCCTCATTTTACACTGTAGAAAAATTTCCTTTCTACGCCTTTATGGAATATCAAGCACGTAAGAAGTTCTTTCAAATTTGGTAGCTGACCTAATTTCCAACGGTTTAAGAGATTGTACAAGCTCTTAATGCATATTAATACGCATACCCCAGCAAAAAGTGCAACTCTTCTGTCTCAGCACAATATTCTCAACTAGTCTGGATGAAGAAACTTCAAGCCTAAGCCTTCACATCATTAGGAACATGACTCTCACAGCAACCTACAGCAGTGCAGCCTCCTACTGCATTATTGCCATCACACATTCAATGCTTTTTCAAGCTGAAGCTACTCAGTCCCTGGTACTTTTGCAGACAGGTTCCCACATTCTATTTAGGCATCTTAAAATATATACACATACAAAAGCCATGTATTTTCATATCTGAAAACATTCCACTGGAATAAAAAAAAGTCAAAACTGACATTAATAGTATTAAATGGTCTTAGGTCTTAATTAAGTGTAACTGGTCACCTGCCTTAACTGTGCGATCTGTAAAACCTTAAATTATTTAATCTTAACATTGAACGTTTAAAATACTAGAACAGTACATTTTTTTAAACAAGCCTTATTTGAAATACAATACCCCAGAATTAAGTTAAAATGCTGGTTTTTTATTTTTAGGCTAGCCCTGTAAGGAAATAGCTAGAGGAGAAGACATAGAGCTAATCATCTTAACATTTAAGAGATAGCTAGGCAATAGACAGAAAGAGACAATTTTTTTGGCTGTTTTTCACTTATACTGCAATCTGTATTGGCAAGTGTTGAGTATGTATAAGTGAGACTGTATAAGTTTAAGGAAAGCCACCTGAACAAGCCACGCTTACAGGCAGTAAACCTGGCTTGTTGCCTTACACAGAAAGGCTCTTTAGGTATCAAGTCAGTGATGTGGAAGGTATGCAGTACTGAAGTAACTACTCAGTCATCTCCACTCAAAAAGTGGAGATTATTCACTTAATAATCTTACACATTAGATCAAACTGCTACCACTAGTTTACCAGGCTACTTCACATGCCAGTATGAAATATCTGGATGACTGTTTTTCTTCCTATTAGCAAACAAGGGTTGGATACTGAGGGCGGTGATTATAGACTGCCAATAATAAATGTCTCAAGTAAATCTGTGTGTACTATTTTTGCACTACTGACTGTTAAACTGTTTGTGTCACTGGGCTTTTAAAGCTTTGTTTGTGTAATTATTCCTGAGTCATCTGGGCTTCCAACCAAATTAAGAGTAAAATAAACCCCATAAATCTGGCAACACAGTGAAAATATCTGATATCAGAGCTCTGCTAACAAAGCATAGAGTAACCGCTCTTGTTCAAAGTCCTCTATAAGCTTCTAGGGTATGTAACTTCTGTTGTTTGTGCCATCTAGTCTCTACAAGAGTCATGTTGCATATGCCTGGCATTCACAGCTTTCCAAAGCAGCGGCAGCAAGAAAAAATTAAGGCAAATGCAAATTTGGCTACTAAAGTTGGTGGCTTTTAGTTACCTTCTTTCCACCACTCCTGAAAAATCCATAATCCACTGAACAAAGTTCTGCCACTTTACACATGCAGCAGGACGGGGTCACTTAAGTTACTACCTTAACACTGACTTCCCATAGAAACTTGTTTTTGTTCCTCTCCTTCCCTCACACAACTTCTTCTAGGTCCTGCCAGGTCTCACCTAGGTCCTGCCAGGCCTAGCTGAGAACATTCAACCCCATCATGCACAGAGAAAAAGTCTTTACCATTCGGATGCCCTATCCATGACTAGATTCCATGGCTGTTTGTGCAACTTGCACTTTGAAGATAAGAAACTGAATTTGTGCAAAGGATATTTAGGAAACAAATCTACAGTTTCTGTAGTGAAACAGGCATGAAAACATTATCTTCAAAGGAGCACCAATTTTAGCCGTCACTAGCTAGATATCACTAACCATCTTGAACTTAGGCCAGCATTGCAGAACTGTATTGTGGAAATACATAAAACAGTACAACGAAAAAATCACACCACTGAGAGATACTGGGAAGACAGCCAGTTTGAGATTAGGGTTTACCATCATTCAGTTCTATGCAAGCATCACAGGTCAAAAAAAGCAAAGTAAAGCATCTTAGTTGCAGTGATGCCAGAAAAGTAGTAATTTTCAAAAAAAACCTCACAAGGTAAGTATCGAGCAGATTAGACCATGGACATACTGCTTTTTCATTTTTCCCAAATTAAGAAAAAGCTTATAAACATCTGATAAGGTTAGGAGTTGCAATTTAATGCCTACTGAACAAGCTGAAGCTGTGTCCTCCTCTGCTTTAAGATGAAAACTATTTTCCCTCAGCTTTTTCTTCAACCTATGTGCACAGTTTAAAGCAGAAAGAAATGATATTCCATACACCACACATTTGGACTGGCACAATAGTTAAAAGGATAATACAAGAAGTCATTTGTAATACCATCTTCAACATCAGACTTTACTAAGACACTCAATTGAAAGCATAAGTATTGCTGGATATTTTTCTCATATGTTACCAGAAGTTTTGGTTTTATTGTGAGGGTTTGTCATTCTTTTTAAACAAGCCTGAGCTGATGCATGCAATGAAAAAGAAACAGTATGCCTATTAGAAGATACTGTATTGACCCCGCACAGACTCTGACTCTCATTCTCCAATTAAGTTCTTAGCAGCAGTCCATGTAGATGAATGGAAAAGTCAGCAGCTAAAGGATTTCTTACTGAGTTGAAGGATTTCTCAGCACAGTAAGCTGCAGCAGTCTCTTCATCCGTACTTACAGCTTTGAAATTTGAGAACAGCATTTTTTTCCACTTTAATATAGGAGTAGGATGGCCTCAGAGCTGGGAAGCACGTATCTCAGCATGGACAAAGTGAATAAACAAATCAGAAAAACTTCCATCAATTCTTGTTTCCAAAGGGGAAAAGAAAGTGTTATTCAGCCATTTCTGCCCAGCTAACTACTGGAACTGTCACTTAAAGCCTTTTACCTTACGAAAAAGAACCTATTGCCAGGTCTGCTACAGCTTTTTTTTAAATTAAAGGCATTGCATTATGAGAACTTTAAGTACATTCATAAATATATCCTTGGCACACTTTAATTGAAAAATATTTTAATATTATTACATAATTCAAAGCTTAACTATTAGATACAAGTATCATAGCATATGCTGAGCTGGAAGGGACCCATCAGGATCATCAAGTCCAACTCACTAAAGTTACAGACACACCCACTCGAGCAACAATACCTGTGATATTTATTTAAAATATTTTTGCTGAGGAAATTTGTTTCATAAGAGATGGTTTTCAAACAAATCAGCAAGGTTATGAAAAATAAAACAGAGACAATTGTTCTCAGGAGAAAAAAAATTACAAAGAAAGCTTCTGCATATCAACAAAACCTCAGTCTTTTGATTTGCGGCCTGAGTCTCTGAGTCCCAACCTTTTCCGCCTAATGAACCCCACTATCCATCTTTAGATCTGGTTTGTTCTTGTCATTCTTCACCGAGTAGATGAAGTATGTTAAGGTGTCCTTTTCATTCACTGGAATTGTCCTAAAATGGCCGCCAATTATCTATAAAGGAAGAATGCAAGGAAATTAAATAACCACTTATATACAGGTTATATACAGAAACTGATGATTCAGATTTAAATGTATTACGTAAAAGTTTGAAAGACTGATCAAGAAGCTTGCAAAAAAGGGAAAAGCTGCCTTTCCTCAAAAGTTTTTAATATTCATAAAAAAAGGTAAACAGGAACCATTTTATTGAGAACTAGATATTGAGAACTAGCAGCCTATACCCTAATTTGCAAAGTAAAAAGTCCTGAAACTTTCCAGGAAAAAAACCCAAACATATCAAAATAAGAATGGGACTATCATTAAATTGGTTTAGTTAAAGCTTGAATACAAAGCAGGTAATGACCATAGAATATCGGCAGTGACAGCACACATATGAGACACTACTGCTCACTCAGGTTAGGGGGTGGTCTGTGTCTGCATCAAATCCCATACAGACACAACTAATACAAGAATATTCGAGAATTATAATTGAACATTCAGTTCTTCAAACAGAGCTTTCAGTGAAAATTCACCATGCTGTAACTGCTAAAATATAACAATCTGTAAACACTTCTTGAATCAATTCTGTCATTTCAGAAGTCTTTTCCTTCATCAAAATGAACATCAGCTTTAAAAGAAAATATGCAAAATATTACACCAGTTTGAGTCCATTCTCTGGCTTTTTGCCAGGCTGGTAGACTAAAATTAACAAGTGAGAAACACTGGACTACTCATTTAACTACCATAGGATATAAGAAGATGCATTTAGCCTAATTAAAAAGTTAGGACGCCCTCTCAACTCTACCCCCAAAAACATCCAGAAAGAAGCAGTTTGACAGAGTCCTCTGAAGTGGACTTTAAGTAACAGCTAGAGCAGTGTCTCTTGTATGTTAGGACAGGTTACAAGGAATCACACATACTGTATACTAAGGAAGTCCTGTGGCTATGGTTCACAATCACTTGCAGGTCAGTCAAATCAAGCATGTGACAGAAGGAGCTTTGCCCATGCACACCATGTAGCACAAGAATAAACTAGTGCAATCATGAGATTGCATCATGAGATGTACCTAAAGCAGACTCTTAGAAACAACAGTTTTGCAGAACAAAAACTGCCTGTGCCTTTTCAGTTCACAGTCTTGCTAATTCAAGAGCTAGCTGCACCTTAACCTACTTTTAGGAAAACTGAAGACTGATGCTGCATTCTTACACACAGTGGCAGTAGCACTATTCTTTTACAGCTCAGCCTTGAGACTGCCCGTACAGCTAAAAACCTTACTTTTAATCCAAACAGATTAAGGGAGAGATGAACAGTGTGTCTGCACTTAAACACAGCTGAGTGTATCACTGCACAGAAGTGAAAAAAACAGTAGCTATGCTTCCCTGTTAAGAGAAGATCACCAGCTCTTCCACATACTTACACGAACATGCTGTGACTGCATCTCTGCAGCACAAAAGAATTCCTTTAAAATTGCACTCACATGAAGCAAAGATGCTTATGTACAGCTTTACTCACACACAGCTTCAGCATTTTTAGAAATACTGGTAAGAAAAACCCTAATTTCATAAAAATCCATTTTTCTGAGAGCAGACCCCAGTGGTTTTAACAGAATTATCAAGAGAAGCATGTTTTTTCAGGTTTCCGTACTTTACATGTACAGAAACACCAATGGTTGCAGTAACCAGCTTTTTAAAGCAAAGTCTGAACCTTACAAGAACTTCACTGCGACCTCTCAGTTTCTACTTCTTTTCAGCAGGGCATTTCAGGTAAAGCTGTGATTGATGTACAGACACAATAAATCAACAATTCTATGATACTCAGAGGGACGCACATCGTCTTCCTGTTTCAACTCAACACTGTGGTTTTAAGCAGCAAACACTCCTTTTGGAAGTTAAAGAGTTCCTCCTCTGGAAAGAGCTTCTATTTTTTATTTACTTGGCTCAGGAGCTACAGCCAATGAAGGAAGCTAGATAAGCAGCTCCCTTTTGTTCTCCTAAAATCCAGATTATATAGGCACTTTATGCAAGGATCAAATCGCATAGAAAACCACATGCCATAGCAAGTTGCATTTTCTATTATGGAAAAACACTCATACATACTTCAACAAGCTGTGCTTTGTTAAGTCCCGGTCTGGTCTGTAGCTTGAAGTGTCTTTTGTACCTTCGAAGTGTGTTTACTTGTAACTGATATAAATCAACCTAGAAGAAAAGATGGGGAAGGGGAGGAAAACAATCTAATGTAACTGAAAACGATTCAGTCATTAACAGTTTGCCTCTCAAAAACATTTTGGAATCTCACAGATACTCAAGGGTAAACAGTCAGCTCAGCAGATGTCATTTTGACAAAAAACAAACTCCACCCTGCACCTTCCAGCAGAAAGAAAAACAGCCTAGTTCAGTTCAAGAGCATTTTATTGTTACTGAGCATGGTTCTGCCTCCCTTTAGCTGTGGACAGTATTTAGAACTCATTAATGTACTTTAATCAGTTATGGGGGTTTTGTTTGTTCCCCAGTTCAAGTACAATAACAGAAAGTCCAGTAACAACTTTCATGTAACATCTATGAAGATGATGACTCAAAGGAAGCCCCGATAATGTGATTTCAGCCATTAAATCTTAAATAAGTTACATGCAAGACACAGCATATCTGCACCATGAAAGAGAACATATTAGAATCAGGAAAAAGTCTGCAGTACAAAGTTTTCTTGGCTTAAGGTGAGAAAAGAAAACAGCTGCTCTTGCTCTCCAAAAGTATCCCTGCTATAAGCACAATACAGGACTCATGTGCAAGGGCATAAACGTCCAGAACTATTTTTCAGTGTGCGTCAACAGTTGAGAGAATTGCACGAAGTCCTCTTAGGGATACAAACACACTGCTTTAATCCAGTACTCCGTCAGTTTTGAATCCCATGACCTCTGATCAACAGTCACTTCTCCCAGTTACAGCTTACCTCCCCCCATTCTCTTAGATAACATAAGAGCTTAATCCGATGACTGAGTGGGAAAGCAAGTTGAGAAAGCAGGTTGAATGAGAAATTCTACTAGATGTATTCTCCAAACTCATTACTTTAAAGACTGATGATAGCGCTCACTTTTGCTTTAAATTCTTTTAACAGCCTCACTATAGAATACTGAAAACAGCAGTGCTCCTGCATACTTGGTAACCTGGCCAGATTTGAGGTGAGGGCACCTTGCATGGTAAAGGATGAGTGTCCTTTGATGTTCTAAAGTTTGTGGCATTAAATTCCACTCCCCAAGTCACAGTGGAGAACCCACCCCCAGAGCATTGTGCAGAGGAGCAGCAGCAGCTTCTCAGCAGGTCTCGGAAGCTACCAGTACCACAGGAGTCTCTTCCCCTCCTGTAGGGGAAGAGACTGTCTTTACTTCTAACCAGTAAAGACAGTCAAGACTGAGAAGGAAAGAGGAGGGCCTTCAAGTCTTCAGAAGAATGATACTTTTTTTCCTCACTAAACTGGAGAATAATTAAAAATAAAGGTGGTCAACGGCCAACAGGCGTCTAAGACATACAGTAATTACGTGGAATGAACATACTGCTCTTATCCAAACAGCCAGCTGAAACTCCTCAAAAACAGTTCCCAGTTTTCTTCCCTGTAGTAGTACCGTTAAGAAAAAAAGCTCATTTTCTTGTTCTGGAGATATCCATCAGTTGTGTCATGTTTTATAATTCTGGCATATAAAAACAAAACAGGCTTGCAGAAGAGTTGCAATTACACGGTGTCAGAGATCTACCTGAAGTCACATAGAGCACTAGCTTGAGACAGAACTTTCCAAGAAGCAATTCCAGATATTTAACAGACAAACAACAGAGCCCAACATCAAACTACTCTCAATCCCCTAAAATCCTCTTAGCCAGAACCTTCAGACTGGAGACACGTTCCTTTAAGTGCAGATTCCTGTACAAAGTTTCCTCACTTATGTTGCTGCTATCTGCAGATGCTGACCACAAGGATGCCATTAAATTAACACTTACAGAGCAATTTCTGAAGAATGCTTAAACAATGCCTCTCAGAAGGGACAGGCAGGGATGACAGCCTCTACTCAAAATTAATACACTGAGGAGCACTTGCTAAGCCATGCTGTAGTAGAAATAACCCAGATCACGTGTAGGAAAAAGAGAGCCTTAGGTGCCAAGACTCTCCCACTACACTACGGAAAAGGCTGAAAGCTGTAGTTCCCTTATTTTAAATGGGTGAGGTTTCACTGATCTGCAGTAGAAAAAACAGTTTGAAAACCCACCATATTTCTCCACTCCTTCCTAGCATAGCTCTCCAAATGGCTCTTCCCCCGACCAATGGTGTAGAAGCAAAGAGCCACCGTTGTTAAACTTTCAGGGTTTAACTGTGACTAAGGCAATGGAGTAACTGCCAAGAGCCATCTGCAACACATTTAGCACTGAAGAAAGGACTAGACGGACGGGGCAGAGAAGCATTTATATCCCAAGTCCTGGGTGCAATTCCCTTCAAGCTGTCAGCTCCTACAGAAGACAGTTTGCTGGTACGTGGCAAAGTACCACTCTGGAGAGGAAGCGCTAAGAAGGAAAAGGCTGAAAACAGCAGATTTCTGAGAGAACCATCACTTAAAAATAGACTCTTGTTCATTCTACTGTGCATAGTTTAACCAGAAAATATAGCATAAAATTCAGTTAAATTTTGTTATATTAAGAACAGTGTGAATCAAGAGTCTTCCCTTTCCCACATGCCCCAGAGTAAGAAAAGCTGTAAAAGTGAGGAAGCAGTATCGGTGCAGACTCAGCAGTCATTAAAAACAAGCTTAACATAGCAATTAGGAAAAAAAACCAAACAAACACACTATTTAGCTACCTCTGGAGTGTCGATGTCTTGCACTGGTGAGTCGCCATCATCATCGCTGCCTTTCCTCTTTCTTCTATTTCTCACACTCTGAATTAAATTTTTGTGGAAGTCACAAATATACAGATGTCTTGCCTACAAAAGTAAAACGGCGTCTTTCAATCAAACCCATGCAGTGTATCTCCCAGACTTAAGATACAAATGCGCGTAGAAAGACAACCCCTCAGTAATCAAAGCTGCGTTAACTGGGTTAAGGAAGCTTTTCTACTGCCTTCCTCTAAACAGAGGGAGTGCTGCGCTACAGATCGCTGCCACCGCCTGGGCCCAGAGCACGCCGAAATGCTGCCCTCGGCCGAGTCAGCAGTGCCAGGCTGTGGAGACGCGAGCACAGCCCTCCGTCCGTCCGCCCGCTCATCGCAGCGCGGGGGCCGAGCAGCACGCAAACAAAAAACAAGCTTCCAGTTGTCCTCTGGAGAGGAAAAACACGACTCTCATTTCCTCATCTATATCCTTCCCTCCTTGTTTTACTTCCGCTACCCGGCGCGGTCGCGCAACACACTTATTTTTACTTTCTTTCTTTTTATTACAACTTTCTCTTTGTAGGGATCTGCACGCTGCGGGAGATCTCGGCGCGTGCCAGCCCTGCATTCCAGGCCCGCGTCCTTTAAGGGCAATGAGAGCCCGGGCAGCGTTAGTGTCCGGCCTGAAGCGCGATGTGCCGCCGGGCCGGGGTCCCCCGGGGCACACGCAGCCCCGGCCGGGGCGCTGGGCACTCCCGCGGCAGCCGCGCGTTGGAGCCCCGCTTTGCTCTCCCGCGGCACCGGGCCAGGTCGGACACGCTCCGAGCCGCGCGGTCGTCCCACCGCGCTGAAAGGCGGCCGCCCCTCGCGTCCGGGGGTCCGCCCGCCCTACCCTGCCCTGCCCTGCCCAGCCGAACCGCGCTGCGCGGCGCCTGATGGCTGCCGAGCGAGAACAGAGCGGCGCGGGGAGAGACGTGCGGCGCTGCAACACGAGGCGGAGCAGCGAGCGCGGCCCTAGCCAGGAACACAGACAAACTAGCGCGCCGGGAGCCATGCAGGCTCCGCTCCGCTCCAGCGCTTCCCGGCCACGCTTCCTCCCGCTGCGGCTAGAAGGGGGGACAAGCAGCCGATGCCCGCGGCTCCTGGGGTGGGAGGGGGCCCCAGGAGCAGGGAGGGGAGGCGGGCGCTCCCCCCGCCGTGGAGGGAGAGGACTTTCAGGGAGTGCTGCTGCCGCGCCAGCTAAACTCCGCCGTGCTACAGAAAAGGGGGGGAAGGGGGAACGAACACTTCCCTGCCGCCAAACACCCCCAGCCCCCACTAAACTTTATTGAAAGCCCCCAAACCAACTAAGCCACGGATGCAGCGACCCGCCGGCGTCTTTTGTCCACCCGCCCCGCCGGCAGCCCCAGCGCGACCTCCCCTCCCGGACTTACGCTCTTGTCCAGCTCGATTTTCACCTTCTTCTGCGAAATGCTCTTCTGGATCCGCTTGCTGAAACTGGCGTTGCCGGCGGCGCGGCCGCACCGCTCCCCCTCCTCCCGGAGGCAGCACAGCTGCCCGGCACCGGGGCCGCCCGCGCACCCGGCACTCGCCGAGCCCGCGGCGGCAGCCGGACCCAGCCCCGGCGCCGCGGGAGGCGGCGGCACCTCCACGGCGGAGCCCGCATTGCCCACCACCGCGGCGGCAGCGGCGGGGTCTGCCCCGCGCTGGGTCACCTCCTCGGGGGCGAAGCCGTTCATGCCCGGCGCCACCGCCGCGGCTGGCGGGATCCCGCCCCGCACCAAACTTCCCCGGCGAGGCGGCGCGGCCCGGCGGGGCGCTCCTCTGCTCCCTGCCCGCCTTCCTTCAGCGGCGGCACCGAGGCACTGGCCGCCTTCAAGGGCGGCCGGCCCACACGTCGCGGGAAAGGCTCTCCTCGCCGGCGGCCGCTGCCTAAGCCCCGCGACTACCGGAGCAGCGGCGGCAGAGCCCCGCGGGCCGCCCCACTTCCTCCTTCCCCCCCTGTCATGTGGAGACTCTTCAGCTGTTTCCTATGTAACAACAGCAACCTGCTCGCCCCGCCTCGCCCCGCCCGCCGCGCATGCCGGCCGCGCGCGCGGCCCCACGGGAAGCGCAGTCCCTGCCCGGCCGCGCGCCCGGCCCGTGGGGAGGCACTGCCGCATCTCCCGAGGTGCCGCGCGGCGCCGGGAGCGCGGCCGAGGGATCGGCGGGATGGCATGGGGTGCGATAGGATGCGATATGATGGGCTGGGTTGCGCTGGGCTGCGGCGGCGCCGGGGCAGGCAGGGCCATCCAACGGAGGTGACGGGGGCAGCCGCTTCTCTTTGCGCCTCGCGCTCCGCTCCCTCCCGTCCGGAGGCCGGGCCCGCCGCGCGGGAGCGGCGGCAGCAGCTCAGCCCGCCTTTAAAACGCCCCGCGCGCCAGCCTCTCTTTCCCCCCTTCTCGCGCCTCCCCGGCGGCGCGGCCGTGGGAGTTGGAATTGTGGCCCCGGAGAGTGTCACGGGTCGGAGCCGAGCTCCTGTCCGCCCTCCGGCCTGCACGGGGCCGGGCGCCCCCACCGCCTCTTCCCACCCTTGCAGCATCTCCCCCTTTTTTCACTTGTTCTCGCTTTAAGGTTTTAGCCGAAGCAGACACTGCTCGGGCTGCTGGTTCCCGATCTTCTGTCTCCTGCCTTCCTTCTCGGCCTCTTCCCTCTCTGCCTCACTGCCTCTTGTCTTTCCCGCTCTCACTGTCGGGCATGGCTCGGGAGCGGGTCCCGCCGGCCGCAGGGAGAGTGGGCAGGCTCTATTCGGCCGCTCCTGCCCCTCTGCCTGCGGGAGGGAGCTCCTGGGAGCCGAAGTGCAGCCGCCGGCCGTGTGTCTCAGCCAAAACCAAACGAAGCCGCGTCCTTTAGAACTGTTCTTTTTAGGGATCGTTGTGCGTTCCTGTAGTAAAGATCTCTGAAGACAAAGACAACTTCTAGTGCGCGTTTCCAATTTTTGTCATTTTAAAAGGGCTTTTTGTTAATAAAGGTGACTTTAACAACAGAAAAGACTGAGAATGCAGAATTATTTTTGCTAGTGATGAACCAAAACCTTGCTGTGCACAGGACTAGCTAAAATAGACACTGTGAAAATACTTGATAAAAGCAGATATTTTTAGTTTTCAGACTTTACAAATCTACGTAAGAGATGCGTTGGCATTAAACCATTTAACAATTCAGCTGTCGACAGCAGAGCAGCGGAAGCAGCAAGCTCTGACCTACAATCTTTCTTCAAGCACGTTCAAATGACATGCAATGAAGGGAGAGGTTTTGCTTTCCTTTTGAACTACCGCAAATATTCCTTTAAATCTCAGAAATGGCATCTGAGCTGAGCATACTCAAAGCACAATTATTTAATCACTGAAATATCTGACCATATCTCTTGCCATGCGTTTCCAGCCTGAAGAAGGAGAGGAGTAGCAGAGAGGCTGGTGAATAATTCGAGGAGACACAGATCCTGCATAAGCCAAAGTTCTGCATGAGCCAGGAACACGATTATAGAGCAGTTTCAGTTAGTGCTGCAGATGGCTCCTTAATCTGATTGCATAACCTGGTATTAGAGAATAAGGGTAGGTCCCCCTTCACGCTCCTCACTGTTGCAATTGAATGAAAGATATAGCAACTGAAGCTAAACTGAGCATAAAGTCACAGACAGCAGTTACCCAGAAGGCATATTTTAGTTTTTAGGGAGGGGAATAGGAGAAGAGTTGGAAGACATGCTAAACCCCACGTTGTTATCAGACAAGCTGAAAGCTGTGTAATGCCTAGGTTTAATCCCACGCTCTGCTGCTGTGCAATCTCAGGCAGTAAAGGTTTAACTCACTTTTTGAGTTTCTTGTGATTTCAAACTTTCAAAAAATGTAATAATGTTAAAATAATAATAATAATAATAATAATACAACAAAAAAACCAACCAAAAACTAAAAAACATAAACCCCCAAAAAACAATAATGATCATAGCAGACCTTAAAGGAGAACACAGGAAGCATGGGCTGGGAAAAGTGGGACAAGGGTGAGTTCCAGGAATTCTTCAGTGGATATCGGGGTCATGAATAGCAATTTCTAGACTCTCAGACTATGTCTTTGCAGGTCCCCTTTTTTTTTTCCCAGATTGATTTGACCTTACTGTGAGCATATGCTGTGATTTGGTATGATGGAAGGATCACTTGTGCATTTTAAATGTTTCTGATCTGTTTTGTAGTTTGGGAGCAGTTAAAAGCCTGATTATGTTACCTAGCCATGCTTGCCAAGATGCTAATTTATAAGAGTAATTTTAAGTAGAGTATCATAGTTTCGTGATTAGATCATGATAAGACAGTCATGGGGCTGAGAAAGATGGTTCTGCTTCTGCTTAAGCTGCTTGTTTTTGCACCTGTGCCCTGTGCTTCTTTGTGCGCATAAAAACATTTCTATGGCTGCATGGCAAACTGTGTTGGGTTACAATTAGACCAGCAACAAGAAAAATCATTTAGGTTTAATCCTGATCTGCTTTACCACTCAGTTGCATGATGTTCCAGCACACAGGTCCAGTAGCAGAGCAGGACCGTGTGACTGGTGCAAAGGGATGACCAGCACCTTGTTTGGCATGAACGCCTGCTTACAGTAACAAAGAAATCATGTCACTTTTAATTTTGCATCATATGCAGGATCAAAAAATACAAAGAGCTGCAGCTAGATAGGCTTATCAGACAGAATGAAGCTTACTAAAGGCTGGATTTACAAACTTTCACAAAGCTTGGGCCCCACAAAATAAAAAGATGATTCATCATAGAGTATGTTATCTAAAATTATTTTATAACATAAGCTCTAGTAGTGGCTAGCATAAGTATTCAGATATAAATAAAGTGTATATATAGGGAGATATTTTAAATAAACATAAAAAAATGCAGCATTGCAAGAATATACTGATTAAACTTCAAAAATAAATCAGTTCAAAGGAAACAGCAGCTCCAAAACAACTCTCTGCATGAGACATCACTAGCTCCACTCACAGTGGAGCTGAAAAGTACGAAAGGCAGCAGTAATCTATATCCCTTGTGGGTGCCAAGTACACAGCATGGATGACTTGTAAGTGGCATGCAGAAGGAACAGGAGCTACAGCATCTTGAAAAGTCTGCCTGAATCCACAGCTCCCAGGCTCTGAAGTCAGTGGGACTTGGTGGCCCCTCCTGGCACACAGACAGGCCAGGCACAGGTTGGAGCCGAGCAGCTTGTGCCTCTCTGAGATGCCATATGTCCCAGCTCCTGTTAGCTTTTGATTGATGTGTTTTGTAATTTGAGAGAGAAGAATGATAATCAGATGCATCACCTTAGATGTATTGCAAGCACACTGCAAATGTATTATTAGTAATGAATCCTGGAAGGGAATTGTGGTTTGTAACTGTGTATACATATCCCCCTGATAAGGTTCAACTGGGGATGGCTATTCCCTTCCCCAGCAGGTACTATTCAGCTGAAGTGTACACTAGTGCACTAGTGTGCAGCACCTAGAATTACCCTCTTAGCAAATGGAATAATAAGGAAAACTATTGATATAAATTTTTCTTAGCAAATATACATTTTCTTTGTTATGTATTGTAACTATTTTAGTGAAAATAGAGTCCTTTAAACACTTGAAAAATTCTGCAAATTCCACCATATGCCCTAGTGATTTGACAAAAGAGCAACCTACTTGATAGACATTCATGAGCTGTGATAAAGAACAGTGACCAAATCTCTCCTTCCTTATCAGGAACAAGTTCTATTCTTTTTATTTTTCCTTTTTTTTTCCTGATTTTTTTAATATCTAATCTTCCTTTCCCACTTGTCCTAGTTAGGACAACTGAGACCAGTTCATCATGGTATGGGTGTAACCCAAAACTGTGTATTCTATAGCCTTCCATGCCATTTCCCAGAAACTGTTGTCAATAGACTATTCACACCCTCTGCCCATAGCGCCTGACTCCTCAGGCTATAAACTAGGTGTTAAGAGGCCTGTGAGACAGGAGGATGCTCTTGTCCTCACACCCTTTGTGGAACTCCCCGCCCTGAGGGAAGTATTGAGCATTCCTGCCAGAACTGGAGGATATATAATCTTGGAGTCTTGGAACATTTTTAACCACTCGTGGGATCCAGAGGAAGACTGCAGTTCATCGCTCTCAACCTCAGCTGGAATGCAATCACCACTTTTGACCAGACTGCAACAGCTCTCCCACCAGCAGGTTTTTCCCCTCTCCCTTTCCTTTGGACTCAAGCGGGGCCCAGGGAATACCACTTTGTTCATGCCCCAGGGTACTGGGTTATACATTTGGGTTTTGTGGGTTAAGACCAATTGTTTGTTTGTATGATTGTACTTACTGTATTATTTTAATAAATTGTTATTCTGACTTATAATCTCTCCTTTGAGTTGAGTTCATTTCCCCTGCTGGTTAACTCTTAAACCAGCACACCACTTCAGCACCAACTAACCATGCTACTGCCTGTTGCTCTGCTTCCAATTTATTGTCCAAATTTCTTAAAAGCATAGAGCCCAAGCCACAGGAATATTGAAACTTATCTACAGACTGTATTTTTTTTACTTCTTTATGTTTTAGACTAGGATAGTTAAAATATAACTTCAGGTAATTAATTGTATAACAAAATTTAATCTGTAATACAGAGCTTATTGTATATGATTCAAGTAATGGGATAAGAGAAAAAAAAAATCATAACTTTCACCAAAATTACTTTCAGGTCTGAATCCACCTGAAGCCAGTCTTTTTTA